TTGTAATTATTTTAATTATTTTTATTTCCAAACTGATTTTAACCAGTTCTATAGTAAGGTAACATTCCAATAGACAATATGCAAAGCTTTTTTTTCAGTTTACAGCAGTATTTATTACACAAAATTTAAGTAAAGCTTAACATGCCGATCTTGCCCCGATCTCCCCTATATTAAAAAAAATAATAAAATAAATTTATAAAACATTTAATTTATAGTTTTAACATTAGTTTATTTGTTTGAACTTTAAAACGTTGTTTTAAAAAGCCTTTATGACGTTAAATATGGCAATGTAATCGTCGTGCATATGTTAATAAAAAAGTGATTATTGATTATTTAAATATTTTAAATTGTTGAATTAATCTTCCATTGAGTATTTCTGGATCTATTTCCTTCGAATACTTCCTAGAATTACTCGAGTATTCCAGTTTTCGCGGATAGTATTGGTCCATTTTTAATAATATATATAATAAAACAACAAACAAATTCTTTTGAATACGATGCTTGCTGAGTAAAGAGAGGAAAATGACAACAAAAACAAAAGATGATGATATACAGTACATCGTACGAAATAAACAACTGACTGTATATGAGGTTACTTAGTATTCACTTCGTTTTCATAATGTAAGTAACGTTTGCAATTTTAATGTACTAAAATTTAGATTTATATATATTCTTTCTTCTAATTTATAGATTTACAAAATAATTCACGTACTTATGTAAAGTACACATCTGTACTTTATTATTATTATATAATTTACTTATATTATTACGATTGATTATTGAAAATTTCTATTGTTAACCATGATGGAACCATTTCTTTTTTTTCTAATTTTGACTGTTCAAAGAATAAAAAAACATTAATAATTTTTGTAATTTTCTTGCTTATTTTTGTTATTTCATTTTGTTTCAAATTATTATTTGGAAAATTTACCATATAAAAATTATTAAAGTGTATTTTTTAAATTTTTAGGATATCAATGTTGTATTTTATTTAGGAGTATTTTAATAAATCTACCTACAGGAAGCCCCAATTTCAAGTCTGTTATGACATACAAAGGAATAATATAACATAATAATAAAAATTAAAACATTAAACATCGTTCCTTCACATAACAACGGGGAGAGCTATTAAAGAAAAATTGAAAAATGTAAAAAAAAAACAATTTCCACATAAGTAATCTTAATGTTCAATTTTAAACAACTTTAGTAATAACTGTCAAAACTGTCGCTTAGAACTAAATAAAACCAATTGTTATATTAAACGATTATAGAGAGTGCTTCCAGTTTATGAATAGATATATTCTGAGCATTATTAGATTTTTACAAAAGAATTTTGAATCTACAATAGTTTATAGTAGATACAGGAGGTATTTACAGATACAGTAGAGCGTCGTTTATCCGAAAGTCGGTTAACCGAAACGTCGGTTATCCGAAAGAATTCCAGTTGGCAAATTTAAATTTTCGCTAGTGCTGTGGCGCTGCAATCTTTGGCTATATCTTGGGCTACTCAAATATTTTACGTTTTTGATACTAAATTAACTTCTGAAGTATAATTTTTTATTGTTTTTATATTTTTCAATATATTTATTTTGTTTGTACAAAATAAAGAAATAATTTTTAACGATACAATAGCCACGATTATTATTTTAAAAAGTTTACGTTAGGCTTAACATCGACGAAAATTCAACGCAAAGCGACACGCAACGGAGAAAAATTTCAGGATGGGATAGGTTAATATACAGTATTTTTTCGTACATAATCGGTTATCCGAAAAATAAGTTATCCGAACAACCCCAGTCCCCAATTGATTCGGATAAACGACGCTCTACTGTATAATTGTTCTAACAAAGCAGGAGCTTAAATTTCAGATTGTAACAGAGACCTGAAAAACTGCATACATTGGATATTACAAAATGTCATCAAAGGTGGAAAATGCATTCGATTTAACATAAATTTCCTTCTAAAATATCTTCAAACGAGATTATTAACTGTTTCTACTATATTTAACTGTATTAGTTGTGTATTCTAGATCACTGCCGCAAATAAAATCTGCGAACAAATAAGAGCTGAATACAAAGCTTTTAGTACATTTATTTCCAGACATTGTCTCAAAAATGTAAAAATTACTCTCGAAGTTCTAATAGCAGTTGTAGTTAACTTTCCCACATGCATTATAAAGGAAAATCAAATATCATAATAAACCCAGGTCTCTGATGTTTTCAACTCTGAATACTTCATATCCCTATATGTGATAAAATACAAAATATCTGAGAATATAGCTTGACTTTATAACATTACATTTTTTATAATTCACACCTAAGCAGTGTGAATATAAAATAGTACTAATTTTACAAATACTGAATTTATTTCTTGGTGTTGTACAAAATTATCACATCAAAAGTTCTCATTTTATGTGCATGGCAGAGAATGTTACCGGAGTTGCGTTTAGTTATTAGATATTAAAACAAATCAATACATTGTTAACATAATTGAGACTGCTACGATTTTATGCTAATAGAAAATTATAAAAATAAAAATGCGCAGTTTGAATTACAAAAAAGGGAGTTTAGACTTCATTATACAATTAATTACGTTTCATAGAATAGTCGCAACTAATATAAACAGCGTATTTTCTCTGCGGATACTGCTCGAAGGCTCCAATTATTACCTTTGCACAGAGACGACCTGTGGTAAGATGGAGGAGGCAGTGTACTGTTTTGGGGACCCAGAATCGAATCCGAATGGGTCGAAAACATCAAGACTTTTATCGGGAAGTGGTCCGTCCAGATATGTCTGGCCCCATTCCTCACCACTCGGAGAATCATTGTGGACCTGACTAAACCCATAATGAGTTTGCAAAGAAAAAAAAACGGTCTTATTAGTGCAAACAGGGCGAAAATAGTTTTAAAAGAAGACGAAAAAGGCGATGCTTACGATCTCGTAAATTTGGTAGTGTATTTTAGTACTTAATTAATCAAATAAGTAACTATTCAACGTATAATTGTATCGGTATCTGTTGAATCTAGAAAACGATCATTTCCAAAGTTAAAAATTGATCAAGAATTAATCAAGAGATACCAATCAACACTGACAAGAGAGACTTTCTTCGCTTTTAATCGTGTCCTCTGAAATATTATTGCATAACTGGATTTTTTCCTCTATAATTGATGTTTTCTGCGCTGCTAGTAGCAGGAGAGCAGTTTTGCAGGTAAATTTTCTAATTCATGGTAAAAACCCACCAGTAACTGAGAGGATAAAACCACTGAACACTAGTGGTTGGTCGTGGGTTCGAGCTTCATTAACGGATTGGCCACATGGAGATTTTTTCGGTTTTTCTTATCGTTTTTAACACCTAAATAGGGGCCAGATTCCATAGAAAGTACTTCTGGGAGGCATCGCCCATGTGTAGCGTTGCTATAAACAAATAAACCAATCTAATTCATTGTAAAACTGTTGTACTCCATTTTACTATTTTTATTGTATGTTTTAACAATTGTATTCGTATAATTGTAAATCTAAATAAATCAAATCTACCTCCACCACTCTTTTAATGAGGGAGTTCAAACATAAATTTTGCCTAGAGTCGCTTCCGTGTCCATTATTAATTTAAAGTAACGTATTTAAATATAATACTTAAGTATTTATTTATGAAAAATTTAATTAAAAAAATTATACTTGAACTGGCAACAGGTATTTTTATAATGACGATTACTTTATATATATATATATATATATCAGTTATAAGAAAATAATTAAAAAGTACACCTACTGTATATTGTACGTTTTACATATTTCATTTTGTATTAAAGTTTATTTGTTAAATAAATAAATTTAAATACGATACCTGCTTACAATAGTTTACGGTATTTATTAATTTTACACCGTTTCCTTAAATTTAAATCCTTAAATATAATATACGCCGTTACTATTCTAGGGCAGTTATTATTCGAGTTTGAAGGCAAGCTTTAAGCGTGATCAGAATTTTTATACAAAATAAACTAGGCTTATACATAATAATTTCCAATTTTATTAAGTTTTTTAAAACTTCAAAAAGCGTCTTTTAATTTATTAACTATTTGTTTGTAAGAAACCATAAAAATGTGTTATAAAATTAATTTACAATATCTCATTAATATTAACGAAAAGTTTTAAAAATTTAATAAAAACATAAAAAACTTAATTGGAAAATTAAAAAACTTTAATTCATTTTATGCTTAATTGAATTTGGTAGTAATTAATACTGTATTGTTATTTCAAATCTAATGAAGCACTAATTGTTGTTTGATATCAAACTAGACAATTGTGTCAAGTACAGATTATAACGATTTAAATACATCTACAAAAACTCTATGCATATTCCCGCAGACAGATATTCAAAAGATAAACTATACTGGAGTGGATCCAACGTCTTAACCAATGTATGCCAAGTTTGCATGCAGTTTATCAATATCAAACTTGCTTATCGACTTACCATCTTTTCGATAGTATAATATTTCCAACTGTCGTTCTTGTTTAACAGCCAGAGTTTCACGGATACTTCCGATAGCTTGTGTGCTTGTGAGTGGACCGTGCAAGAATTCGCACATACAAGATCTTTGCATAAGCTCTCCTCGAGTATAACCCACCAGTTCGCAGAATCCATCATTGCAGTATATAATAGGATACAGATCAATCTGAGCATTAGCAACTAAAAATCTGCGATCTGCAAAATAAAAAAATAATAATAATAATAATTTTATTAAATATAATATTATATAGACACGTATTATAATTAATAACTGTTATAATCTAAAAGTAAAATTTTAAAAACTTTCCATTAAAAATAATAATAAACTAGATTATGAAGAATAGTATTCAATATAACATCATTAAGACAAGTAAAAAGTTCGAATTTAAGAAATAGGCCAAACTTTTTTTTTTTTATATGGACAAAAAATAGTTGGTCCTTCTTGTATCTATATATCATACTACATATTTATATATAGAATATCGAAATATTGAGAAACTGCCAAGGTTTTGGTTTTTATATAAAAATATTCCGTGTTAATAGTATGCATGTGTAAATATTTAAACACCCTTAATTATATTTGCACAAATTTTGAGAACTAAAAATAAAATTTTTAACGTTATATATATATATATATATAATAAGTATTCTTAATAAATGAATAATCTGAATTTCATTATTCTTATAATTAATTCTTCTTCTTATTTAATTTTTTTCTTAAAGTTTTTCGAAGAAAAACTGATGTAGCCAATCGATATTTACAGATAATGGTGACTGAATTTGAGAAAAACCATAACCCATTATATGAGTAATTATATAAGCACGATTATTTGCGTGCAAGAAAGACATATTCGTGATGTATATCTGCGATCATAAAAGGGGTTCACAGCTGCTTTAGAGTACATAGAAATCACTATAAAAGATGGTACACTCTATTTAATTTAAAATCTTTCTTAAGTGAATCATTCGATAAATTAAATCACTTTTGATTGATAAGATTTTCTATTTTATTTATCTTTTATAAAAGTATTATAAATTAAAAATTAATATTTTAACTTTTATCAGTTCAAAAAAAAAAAATTATATTATAAAATAATTTATTTTTGTACTCCTTCATTAATACTCTATTATAAAACTAATTATATTATTATTTAGAATATATTTTAAATAATTTAATTAATAAAATGTATACTTTTAAATTTCCTTCGTTATTGAATATTAGCTTATTTGCTAATGAAATTTTCAAATTTTCATTATCCTGTAGCTATATAGTTATAACTAATTGTAGAAACATAATTGATAATACTATATACATTCCTAATATAGATATAACAATTGAAATATGTAGTTGTCATTTTTAGATAATTTTTTTTTTTCATTAGCTAAAAGTTTAGGAGAGATCATACCAGTTTATTCCAGCTTTCCATACCTACTTAACTGATTAAAAGTTATTCTGTAAATTTAGGTATTCAAGCTGAGAAAATTATTCTCATAATTTATATAATCTAATATTAAACTTGAAAACATTTTTTGTTAAATTTGCCAAAATAAAAATATTAATGTAATTGTTATAACATTCTATTTTAAATAATGGATTAAATAGGCTTACTGGAGTAGCTAAAAGGATTAATTTGCTGTAAATACTTAAATAAAAAAATAAAAATTGAACTGTTTTTTTTTTTCAATTTTAATTTAAATATGATATTGATAGAAATTTTTTATTGTTTTGAAGTTAGAAATTTTAACTTTTAAAAGGTAAGAACACGTTCGATTAGTGTAATTTAAATTTATTTGTTAATTCCTATCAAAGTTAATTACCTATTTACTTATTGTATTTAACTATAATAAAAATAGCTATTAAATTTTTTTAAATAATAATTTTATTATTATTTTTATTATTATGTGATTCAGCAATTGTTAATAGAAAAAAAATAAAGCCACTTCTACTAGAAGAAATAATACATATACGAAACAAACAGTAAAACACGTCATACGTAGTCAAGTAAGTACTAAAATAATAGACTAAAAATATTTTTAAAAAATTACAATTAAATAATAAAAAACTACCAGTTTTGTAGAGATCTTTTTATATTTTAATTTTAATTTATTAAAATTTAACTATATAAATAAATTCCTCAAAATTAATTAAATAATGAACGGCTCTATAAACAAATAATATATAAATAATTTAAATCATTCAGTTGCGTTAACTTGATATTTATTTGAATTTTAAAATCAATAAAAACACATGTAAACAAATCCAACAGACTTAAGTTGTTTTAATTGAAATTTTTTATGGTTAAAATAGTTAACATATGGATAAAAATCGAAAAAATAGTTGATATCCCATTCGACATTTAAACTCAGTTTATTATTATTATTATTATTTTTAAATAAAAAAAGTAAACTTATGCTATGGTGTATTTAACTGAATGTAAAGCATAACAGCAAGATGATAATGCATTAAAATGAGATCTTGACATATTTCTGATTGATTCAGAAACGATTTTGATAGCATGATATCTGCGACAAATATACGTTTTGACAACATGACGTATAGACTAAAGAAATCATAACATTATCCTAAAGGGTGTGGTTGAATATGTTTTGACATCAGATTACGCGTGTTTCTCTAAAGATGTTAGAGCGTTGAAAAATGCTTATGTCAGTTTAGTAACCGATTTAGATAGAGAAATCTGGATGTTTTAATATAATATGATAGCAGTTGTCAACTTTCGTATAACTCTTTAAATATTTTCAACTTAAAGAAATGAAACACGGAATAAGTATAAATGCTTAAAGAGTTTTGTGGCATTTATTTCTCCTTCAGTATATATCACTTCAAGCATATTAATATTAAGTAATATTAATATGTTTGATGTGAAATATTATCGAAAATCTCAGTGTCTTTACAAATATCTAATGATTAAACTTGAGTTTGATGACTTTCGTGATGACAATCTACTCATCACTTCTGACGATTATCCTTCGCCACTTATAATATATAGTCTTGTAGCTAATTCAGTAGATGCCACACCCACGTTTGATATTCACCTCGTAATCTAATTCTTAGAGGAGTTTTTAATCGACGAAAATTTATCTCCATCTTCATTTAAGTTTTTAAGAAAAATCTAATTATTATCAAATAAATTTTAAACGAATTTTTAATCGATGAAATAAGGAAACTTTTCTAAACGATTTCAATTGAATTCACATATTAAATTTTAAAAAATATCAAAATTATCTAATTGTATCGAATCGAAGTAAAATATTTATAAACGTTGCAGATTTATGAAGTGATTTAAGTCGAATATATACGAACGATAAGCTCATTTCTATCTAATATTGGAAATGTTCAACGTCTTATACAAGTGACAAGTTCCATCTGCTTAACTTTATTTTCAAGTTTTTCTACTTGAAGTATGAACGGGAACCGTACATCTGTAAGTTATTAACAATTTTTTCTAATTTTTTTATTTAATGAATTCTAATTGAAGTCATAAAATATTTAATTCTCTTAAAACCTTTTTAGGTTTTATTACATTATTTCAGTATTTTTTAGAATATTATGTAATTTTAGTATGTTGATTGAAAAATTTAAAATAACAGCACTTCTTTTCGTAGAGAAAATTACATGCAACTTTTATAAAACTTTCAAACTTCTATATCTTATTCTAACTCAACAATATAAAATAAAATGAAGATAAAGAGGAGGAAAAATTTAATTAGGTCTTCACTTGTCAATTAATAAAAAAAAAATATTATTTACTCGAATAATTAGTAGAAATTTTTAACTTTATATAATTTATTAACATCTACTTAAAATCGTAACGATGAAAAAATGTCATTCATAAAACATATAGAAAACTTTAGATGTTTTTGGAGGGTCACGGATAACACAAAAATAGCATCAAATAGTTTTCTTACTTCTAACACTAAAATAGTACGCAAAAATTCTTAAATTTCTAAAATTTTCAAAGTGAATTTGCATCTCACGAGATATATAAAATACAGAATTGCTTGTGTATTTTTTTTTATTTTTTTTTTTCAAATTTTTGGATGAATTTCAATTATATTATACGACTAGCTATGTATTCTGAACAATGAGAGAAAATTATAAATAAATTTTAAAATTTTAGATATAAAATATAATTTTTTATTTGTTTATTCTTCCAGTTAACTAAATAATGTTTTAGATTTTGTCCAGTTATTATTATATAAATATCTTAACAAATATCTGGAGTAATGTAATAATTAGTTTCTATATATTACAATATACTGTTGATTTTATTACTATTTTAATGATTTATTTCATTGCTTAATATGAAAAAGAAAAAAAATTATGTCAAGCAGAATCAAGTAGTTTTAAAATCATTTATTTTTGCAATAATCTGATATAAATTATATCATTTTAATAACGAATATAAATTTTATGTACATTTATATTAACAAGTTAAAGTGTATGAGAAAGAAGATAATTAAAGGAAATTTCAGCTTATATATTTTATTAAATTATTATCGTAAACATATAAGCTAAAACTTCTTTTAATTCTCATAAACAATTAGTAAATTACATCACAATTGATTTGTTTTATATAAAATAATTAATAATTATTTTATATAACAAAAATTTAATATCTCAACTAAAAAAAAATGTTATCTATATCATGTATAAATGTAAACTGCTACTAATAAAATATAATCTTAAAATAAATATACCAGTCGACCCCCTATAACACTGTTGATTTTTTCGTTTTATATGAATTCCATGTTGTACGAGTCACTTAGATTTTACAAATACGTGGGTCATTCACAGCCA